GTCGGAAGGAGAGGACGTCTGGTGCGGGACCTATCCATGTTCCAACAGTGTTGGTGGGGGTAAGGGGGGAGGGGACTGATTGTGTGAACGGTGTGCAAATGGGACAAGATAAGAAAGCTGTTAAGACGAGATACAGTAGAGGTCGGAAAAGGGGGGGGGGGAACAGAGATGTGTGAGCAAATGAATTGAATAACTATTAAACAACTTTCGAATCAAGCTTGTGCTTGAGCGTGTACTGATTTCACAATGTTACTGATAACGTGACGTAATGCAACTAACAATATAAAACAATATGGGGAACTGTGGTGTGTGTTGTATGAAACAGATTGCGAGACAAAATGTATGTGAGCAAGGAGACGAAGTTAGATGTTCGAGATATGTGGGTAGAACGCTTTCTACCACAGATGGAGCAACATGTGGCAACCACTTGCCCAAAAGCACGTATGAGGTTCTTCATGAAAAACTTGAGATACACATAAGGGGAAATAATTACTAGTCTTAATCCTATATATACCTCACATGTTTCTGCAGTTTAAACAAATCTGTTGTTATCTAATAAACAAACATATATGCAATGCCCTGGCCAAAGATTATGAAAATCTATGCATTTTCAAATGAGCTGTGCGGCATTCTGCAAACACTATAATACATCAGAAAACTGCGGAATTTCAGACAGAAATTTAAAAGCACATGAATTTTGAATTAAACAGAACATTTTTATTTTTGAACATAAATGCATTCTGTAAAAAGATGAGATAAATTCAATATAAATCCAACACGAAAATACTTTAAAACAGTAATCATGATGCAATATTAGACTTTTTCACACTTTCATCGAAAACCACACAGTTTTTCTCTGTTAGCGTAGTTTCATTTCAAGTGCCAAACTGTGGTCAAATCTAAGATGTTGAAACATGCAGTGCCTATCAATTTTAAAATATCTCCTATATAGTTGTATTTCCAAAGGATAAGTAAGTTGAAATAATCTGATTATGTAACACTACAACTACAACAGCTTTTTTATCCCCACCCCCAGTTTGGAATCTGATAATTTAAAAGCACATGATTTTTTAATTCCACAGAACATTTTTATTTTTGAACATAAATGCATTCTTCAAAAAGATGAGATGAATTCAATATAAATCAAACACAAAAATACTTTAAAACGGTAATCATGATGCAATATTAGACTTTTAACACTTTCATCGAAAACCACACAGTTTTTCTCTGTTAACATAGTTTCAAGTGCCAATTGTGGTCAAATCTAAAATGTTGAAACATGCAGTGCCTATGAATTTCAAAATATCTCCTATATACATGTAGCTGTATTTCCACAGAATAATTAAGTTGAAATAATCTGATTGTGTAACACTACAACAGTTTTTTCATCCCCACCCCCCAGTATGGAATCTGATACATTGCTGACCAATCATAGGTCTGTCTCCCTGTTCACTCTGGCCTGTCAAATGATTTACAGTGCCAATGTTGCTTACAACTTTCCTGACCAAGAGATATGCACAACCGTCAACACACAAGTCATTTATGTTATCTTCCAATATGAGAGGCCATGATAAACACAAGGGCGTCCTTTTCAAGCTCGGAAATGAAGTCATCACCAAAAAGCAAAGTTTACAGAGGTCCTCGGGGCTGGAACCCAAACTGATTACGATTTGACTCCCACTTCCACCACAGATGTCATAGAGATCAGGGATGAAATTGATATGCATCATCGTTCTACTAAAGCCAGTCCAGGAAGTCATCAGGTTTTGAGATGTAGACCTGAAATATTAAATTTGGATGAGAATGAGAATTCTGGGGCGAATACTATCCAAGGAAACGGATCATTGACATCCAGAAAATGGTCAAAATGTGGAATTCTGTCAGTCAGTTACATGCCAAGGGGAGAAGACAAGCCTGTGCAGTACCAGACCATTACTATTAGTGAGCAGAAGTGGGGATCAGGTTGGATGTACTTCGTAAAGTGTATGAAATGCACATTTATCTCACTTGTTTTGCTTCTTTTTTTTTAATACTTGTGTTGAGGTCTATCATTCCACTCTATGAAACATTACCCTGGCACCCGAAATGATAGAAAGCTGGGGATAAATATGCAATAAAAAACAGTGAGGAAATAAGAAAGAAAAAAAACAATGGTTTCAACTGGAAATAGAAATAAACCTCTTTATTTCTAGCGAACATCTCGTCACTGGCCCTCCAAAAAGAAACCAGTTAAACATACATTATGCAAGAGCAAAATCTGATTATTGCAAGTCGTAATTTAGGCTTCAGATGTTATAGAAATTATAAATTAGATCTTTATTTAAACAACAAGCCCAAAATCAACTCTGTAGACCCACGGATGGCTCGGCTACAGCTCGGATTTAAATAGGATTTCAGTTATTGATAAATTCAAATATGGCGCACCCTGATGAGAATACGTCAGTTAGATCGAGGCTAAATGATAGAGTGTACTTAGCGAGGCCGCTGTAGAGCGTTTCCGCATGCCATTGAAAACTTTACTTGATAATCGAGATATGTAGGTGGAGTTAACGCCTGTCAATCAAACGTTCGGCCAAGGTGAAGGCACATTTCACTACCATTTCAAGTCAAATATTACAACGATGATAACTATGTTCAGAATAAAGTAATTTGACTGAAATTTTCAATATATTCTTCTTTCATCATCTACTTTTGAACTGTTATAGCAAGAATGGCCAACTCTCTATAAAAATCTCCCATAATGTATCTTTAACAGTCAGTAAAAAAGTAAACCTTGAGTGTCACATAAGTCTAAGGCAATCTCAAAGGTAGACACCATGTTTTGAGGTTCGGTCTAAATATTAAGGCCAACTGCATGTTTGGTCAAAAGTCACACAGGTGTGAATTTTGGAGTGTACATGTTAACATTTCATTGTACGATGTCAAAACATGTTAGGTCTAAATATTAAGGCCAACTGCAGACTTTGTTCAAGGTCACAACATGTAAATAGGGTTAGGGCACATGATTTTTTGACACAATTGTGGGTTAGGTTTAAGAATTTGGGGGAGAGGTTAAGTCTCCACATAAGCAATGACCTAGGATGATGAAAAATTAGTTCGTGATATTTCCTAATTTTATTAAAAATACATACAATACATTAGATTAATTTACAAAAGTGATTTCACTGTTTTTGGTGTTGGTGGCGCTGATGGTCTTCCTTGGATGGTACTTCTGGTATTTTTGTTTCTGAAGAAGAAAAAGAATCAATTTGAGGCTCTCGGGGGGAAAGCCACATTAGTGTGTTTCCTACTACGAATTGGATTTTCTAAAAAAATCGTGTTTGTTCCACATCACCGGGTTAGGGCTAGGGATTCTTATATCTAGTTGATTTTATTTACTAACGGTTAGGGATAGGATTTGATATATGGTTTGTTTTGGGTTAGGATGGAGACTTGTTTTATTTAATCTAATTTACTGTGCGCTGGGATATCGTTCAGATTTTTTTTTTTAAAATATGCAATTATAAGTTTCTGTGTGAATATTTTCGGGTGATTTTCTTGGAGATCAGTATAGTGTTTTCTGATGATTTTGGATGCACTTGCTGCTGTTGCGCTAAATGAAACTACAAATGGGGCTATTGCGCTAGCCGTATGAATATTCAAACCTAGGGGGCTGTTGTTTTCAATTTGTCAATCCAGAATTTTTCTCTTGTTAGCCTAAACGTTTTAATTTCTTCTGTAGTTTCAAAATCGCTCTTAGCCTTTTCTATTGGTGTGACAATGAGATCAGAAATGTCATGATTTGGTTGGTTGAAGTGAACTGAGACCGGTTTGTCTTTTTGAGTGACTATGTCTGACCGGTGACCGTTAATTCTTTCCCGAAGGACTTCTTGGCCCATGCTAGGGCGTGGCCAGAGTACTCCTGTACAACATCTTTGTCACTTCAAGTACTCTAGTTTCTCCGCTAGCATGGTTCGGTAGTGTGTCGACAAGGATGAGGCGACGTCCTTGGCCCATTTCAAGTTCAATGTCTCAATGGTAGTGGCTATGGTGGGCGTCTTCATGGCCGGCTTCACGAACTTGTTCAGGTCTTGGATCTTCCAAGTGAAACTTCTGGTGGGTTTTCCATTCTTCTGGCTCTCCATAATGGTCAATTGGTGGAGGCATTGCAGGCCCTGCAAAAAGGTTTTCACGATACCTGCATTCTCTGGAGGTGGTTGGCGCTGGTTTGGTTGTCGTTTTGGTTGGCGCTGGTTTGGTTGTTGAGTTGGTTGGCGCTGGTAACGGAATCCAAGTGGTGGTTGGTGAAATCCAGGTGGTGGTGGTGGTTGGTGAAAGCCTGGTGGTGGTCGGAATCTGTTCCGGAACTGTGGCCATTCCATTGGTAGATGAGTGGGCGTCGGAAGGAGAGGACGTCTGGTGCGGGACCTATCCATGTTCCAACAGTGTTGGTGGGGGTAAGGGGGGAGGGGACTGATTGTGTGAACGGTGTGCAAATGGGACAAGATAAGAAAGCTGTTAAGACGAGATACAGTAGAGGTCGGAAAAGGGGGGGGGGGAACAGAGATGTGTGAGCAAATGAATTGAATAACTATTAAACAACTTTCGAATCAATCTTGTGCTTGAGCGTGTACTGATTTCACAATGTTACTGATAACGTGACGTAATGCAACTAACAATATAAAACAATATGGGGAACTGTGGTGTGTGTTGTATGAAACAGATTGCGAGACAAAATGTATGTGAGCAAGGAGACGAAGTTAGATGTTCGAGATATGTGGGTAGAACGCTTTCTACCACAGATGGAGCAACATGTGGCAACCACTTGCCCAAAAGCACGTATGAGGTTCTTCATGAAAAACTTGAGATACACATAAGGGGAAATAATTACTAGTCTTAATCCTATATATACCTCACATGTTTCTGCAGTTTAAACAAATCTGTTGTTATCTAATAAACAAACATATATGCAATGCCCTGGCCAAAGATTATGAAAATCTATGCATTTTCAAATGAGCTGTGCGGCATTCTGCAAACACTATAATACATCAGAAAACTGCGGAATTTCAGACAGAAATTTAAAAGCACATGAATTTTGAATTAAACAGAACATTTTTATTTTTGAACATAAATGCATTCTGTAAAAAGATGAGATAAATTCAATATAAATCCAACACGAAAATACTTTAAAACAGTAATCATGATGCAATATTAGACTTTTTCACACTTTCATCGAAAACCACACAGTTTTTCTCTGTTAGCGTAGTTTCATTTCAAGTGCCAAACTGTGGTCAAATCTAAGATGTTGAAACATGCAGTGCCTATCAATTTTAAAATATCTCCTATATAGTTGTATTTCCAAAGGATAAGTAAGTTGAAATAATCTGATTATGTAACACTACAACTACAACAGCTTTTTTATCCCCACCCCCAGTTTGGAATCTGATAATTTAAAAGCACATGATTTTTTAATTCCACAGAACATTTTTATTTTTGAACATAAATGCATTCTTCAAAAAGATGAGATGAATTCAATATAAATCAAACACAAAAATACTTTAAAACGGTAATCATGATGCAATATTAGACTTTTAACACTTTCATCGAAAACCACACAGTTTTTCTCTGTTAACATAGTTTCAAGTGCCAATTGTGGTCAAATCTAAAATGTTGAAACATGCAGTGCCTATGAATTTCAAAATATCTCCTATATACATGTAGCTGTATTTCCACAGGATAATTAAGTTGAAATAATCTGATTGTGTAACACTACAACAGTTTTTTCATCCCCACCCCCCAGTATGGAATCTGATACATTGCTGACCAATCATAGGTCTGTCTCCCTGTTCACTCTGGCCTGTCAAATGATTTACAGTGCCAATGTTGCTTACAACTTTCCTGACCAAGAGATATGCACAACCGTCAACACACAAGTCATTTATGTTATCTTCCAATATGAGAGGCCATGATAAACACAAGGGCGTCCTTTTCAAGCTCGGAAATGAAGTCATCACCAAAAAGCAAAGTTTACAGAGGTCCTCGGGGCTGGAACCCAAACTGATTACGATTTGACTCCCACTTCCACCACAGATGTCATAGAGATCAGGGATGAAATTGATATGCATCATCGTTCTACTAAAGCCAGTCCAGGAAGTCATCAGGTTTTGAGATGTAGACCTGAAATATTAAATTTGGATGAGAATGAGAATTCTGGGGCGAATACTATCCAAGGAAACGGATCATTGACATCCAGAAAATGGTCAAAATGTGGAATTCTGTCAGTCAGTTACATGCCAAGGGGAGAAGACAAGCCTGTGCAGTACCAGACCATTACTATTAGTGAGCAGAAGTGGGGATCAGGTTGGATGTACTTCGTAAAGTGTATGAAATGCACATTTATCTCACTTGTTTTGCTTCTTTTTTTTTAATACTTGTGTTGAGGTCTATCATTCCACTCTATGAAACATTACCCTGGCACCTGAAATGATAGAAAGCTGGGGATAAATATGCAATAAAAAACAGTGAGGAAATAAGAAAGAAAAAAACAATGGTTTCAACTGGAAATAGAAATAAACCTCTTTATTTCTAGCGAACATCTCGTCACTGGCCCTCCAAAAAGAAACCAGTTAAACATACATTATGCAAGAGCAAAATCTGATTATTGCAAGTCGTAATTTAGGCTTCAGATGTTATAGAAATTATAAATTAGATCTTTATTTAAACAACAAGCCCAAAATCAACTCTGTAGACCCACGGATGGCTCGGCTACAGCTCGGATTTAAATAGGATTTCAGTTATTGATAAATTCAAATATGGCGCACCCTGATGAGAATACGTCAGTTAGATCGAGGCTAAATGATAGAGTGTACTTAGCGAGGCCGCTGTAGAGCGTTTCCGCATGCCATTGAAAACTTTACTTGATAATCGAGATATGTAGGTGGAGTTAACGCCTGTCAATCAAACGTTCGGCCAAGGTGAAGGCACATTTCACTACTATTTCTAGTCAAATATTACAACGATGATAACTATGTTCAGAATAAAGTAATTTGACTGAAATTTTCAATATATTCTTCTTTCATCATCTACTTTTGAACTGTTATAGCAAGAATGGCCAACTCTCTATAAAAATCTCCCATAATGTATCTTTAACAGTCAGTAAAAAAGTAAACCTTGAGTGTCACATAAGTCTAAGGCAATCTCAAAGGTAGACACCATGTTTTGAGGTTCGGTCTAAATATTAAGGCCAACTGCATGTTTGGTCAAAAGTCACACAGGTGTGAATTTTGGAGTGTACATGTTAACATTTCATTGTACGATGTCAAAACATGTTAGGTCTAAATATTAAGGCCAACTGCAGACTTTGTTCAAGGTCACAACATGTAAATAGGGTTAGGGCACATGATTTTTTGACACAATTGTGGGTTAGGTTTAAGAATTTGGGGGAGAGGTTAAGTCTCCACATAAGCAATGACCTAGGATGATGAAAAATTAGTTCGTGATATTTCCTAATTTTATTAAAAATACATACAATACATTAGATTAATTTACAAAAGTGATTTCACTGTTTTTGGTGTTGGTGGCGCTGATGGTCTTCCTTGGATGGTACTTCTGGTATTTTTGTTTCTGAAGAAGAAAAAGAATCAATTTGAGGCTCTCGGGGGAAAGCCACATTAGTGTATTTCCTACTACGAATTGGATTTTCTAAAAAAATCGTGTTTGTTCCACATCACCGGGTTAGGGCTAGGGATTCTTATATCTAGTTGATTTTATTTACTAACGGTTAGGGATAGGATTTGATATATGGTTTGTTTTGGGTTAGGATGGAGACTTGTTTTATTTAATCTAATTTACTGTGCGCTGGGATATCGTTCAGATTTTTTTTTTTTTAAAATATGCAATTATAAGTTTCTGTGTGAATATTTTCGGGTGATTTTCTTGGAGATCAGTATAGTGTTTTCTGATGATTTTGGATGCACTTGCTGCTGTTGCGCTAAATGAAACTACAAAAGGGGCTATTGCGCTAGCCGTATGAATATTCAAACCTAGGGGGCTGTTGTTTTCAATTTGTCAATCCAGAATTTTTCTCTTGTTAGCCTAAACGTTTTAATTTCTTCTGTAGTTTCAAAATCGCTCTTAGCCTTTTCTATTGGTGTGACAATGAGATCAGAAATGTCATGATTTGGTTGGTTGAAGTGAATTGAGACCGGTTTGTCTTTTTGAGTGACTATGTCTGACCGGTGACCGTTAATTCTTTCCCGAAGGACTTCTTGGCCCATGCTAGGGCGTGGCCAGAGTACTCCTGTACAACATCTTTGTCACTTCAAGTACTCTAGTTTCTCCGCTAGCATGGTTCGGTAGTGTGTCGACAAGGATGAGGCGACGCCCTTGGCCCATTTCAAGTTCAATGTCTCAATGGTAGTGGCTATGGTGGGCGTCTTCATGGCCGGCTTCACGAACTTGTTCAGGTCTTGGATCTTCCAAGTGAAACTTCTGGTGGGTTTTCCATTCTTCTGGCTCTCCATAATGGTCAATTGGTGGAGGCATTGCAGGCCCTGCAAAAAGGTTTTCACGATACCTGCATTCTCTGGAGGTGGTTGGCGCTGGTTTGGTTGTCGTTTTGGTTGGCGCTGGTTTGGTTGTTGAGTTGGTTGGCGCTGGTAACGGAATCCAAGTGGTGGTTGGTGAAATCCAGGTGGTGGTGGTGGTTGGTGAAAGCCTGGTGGTGGTCGGAATCTGTTCCGGAACTGTGGCCATTCCATTGGTAGATGAGTGGGCGTCGGAAGGAGAGGACGTCTGGTGCGGGACCTATCCATGTTCCAACAGTGTTGGTGGGGGTAAGGGGGGAGGGGACTGATTGTGTGAACGGTGTGCAAATGGGACAAGATAAGAAAGCTGTTAAGACGAGATACAGTAGAGGTCGGAAAAGGGGGGGGGGGATAGAGATGTGTGAGCAAATGAATTGAATAACTATTAAACAACTTTCGAATCAAGCTTGTGCTTGAGCGTGTACTGATTTCACAATGTTACTGATAACGTGACGTAATGCAACTAACAATATAAAACAATATGGGGAACTGTGGTGTGTGTTGTATGAAACAGATTGCGAGACAAAATGTATGTGAGCAAGGAGACGAAGTTAGATGTTCGAGATATGTGAATAACTGATTTTACAATATGACTGATAACGTGACGAAATGTAACTAAAAAAATATAAAACAAGTATGAAACAAAGGTAGATCGTTTGAATTTTGCGGTTTATTGATTATACAGTATAGTATATTGTTTTAATTCCAATCGTTCAATTAAAATCTTGTAACAAATATAAAAATAAAATTACATAAGAATATACAAAGAAAAAAAAGAATTACATATAATATAGACGGGTCGTTCCTCGATTATATCGCGATGTACATTTCGGAGTGGTATCCTTTGTAAGGGTTACGGTCAGCCCTATTTACATCTCGTGACTTTAGACTAAATCTGCAGTTTGAGTTGGCCTTAATATTTAGACCTAACCATGTTTTGACATCATTGTGAACGAAATGTTAACATTTACACCCCAAAATTCACACTCAGCCAACGGATACCCCCAATCATGGCTATTTTGATACCAAATATTTAAAACATTTACTGCTGGGCAATAAAAAAGCAGTATTCTTACCATTTCTGACACTTTCCATTCAAAACTTCAGAAAATAAGACGCTGAGAAAATATCAACATCCCAAGTCTGTCGTCATATCAGGACTCAGACTAGCAATTATTTGCCCATTAACTTCAATGTTAAATGGCTGTAACATCACAGGCTGTAGCTTTTTGCTCAACATTCCGTTGGTTCCATTGGGGATCACATTTGGCAATATCCTCATCATACATTTGTAGGGGTTGACCGTTTAGATTTTTTGCTACGGGAATTTGATGTTGACTGGGGTGAAATGATTGCTCTGCAGAAAGACACTTTACACCATCCCTCCGCTGTAATATCATCAGTATTACCCAAAACTGCTATGGAATTGCAAATTTGATCCCTTTTGTCCAATTCTAGACCAAAAAGTCAACCAAAAAATGCAGGGCGAGGTGAGAAAAAAATTAAGGAAAAAATTATTTATAACTCGCACTACAATAACTCGAAATAATTAATAGTCTAAGTCCATCTGGGCACTTGTGAGTAAAAAATAGGTTACGTGCCCTTGTTTTGAAATTAGTCTCGCTTAACAAGTATACCGATCATTCTACGTCTGATTGACAGGCCGGGATAATCACGACTACTTTTTTTTACGAAACATAACAGAAAGCTGGAACAAGAAATTGAATTTAGAAACACGCCCGTTAGGCAACTCAACAATTGTTTTAAGAATCTTGTAAAAGTAAAATGAAACTACTGCTAGTATCATGTTCTTGCCTAACGCAAGTGTTTCAGAGATATTATTTGTACTAAACCAAAAGATGCTGCTCCTAACGTTACAGTTAATGATAAAGCAATTTAAAAAATAAAAAGAACATAATTTCTAAGGCTGCTGTAATAACCAAAAAGCTAAATATTACTGCTATTCAGAATCGTCAACAATAGATTTTTTTACGGCTGTAATAGCTGATAGATGGGTAGAGAATTCCACTAGCGCCGAGTATTATCATACTGCGTGGTAAGCCAGAAATCACTTCCGAGACAAGCCACTGAAGCGTGCACATTCGCCGTGTCGAGTCCAGCTTTCTGTAGGGAAAATTTTCATTACACGGGTCACCCTAAATTCATCCTCGGTTACCCAGTGTACTCATTCCGTTCTTCTCCACTATACCCTGGGTTTATCTATGGGGGAGACACGTTTTCAAGTTATCAGCCCTTGATGATTGTGCTATTTTTATCGACCAATCCCATAAATTGTTATTTGAAAAGGAAGTTGGCAAAGGTAAGTAACTCTCATCGGACAATGTTAGGAGTTTGCCTATTCTTAATGCGTAATTATTAACAACCAATTATATATTATGTTAATTAAAACCAGACGTTCATATAATCAAATTGCCAAGTTCAATAATAATAAACATAACAGAATGACATATTTCAGACAAAGAACGAATAGTAATAATAATAACAAAAGTCAAACATATAGATGTTATACATATTTGAAATTAACAACACATACTACAGATTTTGATAATACAATTATAAATATATACATTATTTACATAAATCATTCTGTAAATGGACATGCATATGGTTATCTACCCTTATAAAAATGAAGGCGAAACGATTGGTTTGTAAACTGTTTTCTGATTGGTCCGTAGACTGTAGCTACATTCTAGGCCAGGGCAGATAATTTGAACCCTATGGATTAACGCAGGGTATAGTGGAGTAGAACGGAATGAGTAAATTGGGTAACCGAGGAAGCCCTAAGTTGTACTTTTTACATAATATAATGGAAAAGACATTTTAGCAGAGCATTTAATATTGACAACCATACCCTTCCATAACAGTCTAGATGTTAACACTAATATTTTTAATCAAATTCATAAGTTTATTGTTATGTCAAAAATACTTTAATGTCGACCAAATAATATTTTACAATTTATTAAATGTAAAATTTTGACTTTTTTCCCATGTTGGTTATTAAAAAATGTCTATTATGCTTGTTTTATATGTATAACTATGGCCTATCTCCTATTATATATATTGTACATTTTTATCCACTCTATTATATTTATATAATATGTTTGTGTTTGCCATTTTAACTATATACACCCATTTGCATTAATATTGTATGTATAAATTATTTAGGGAATGGGGTTTTACATAGGCCAAGCCTGTTCCCAATCTCATTCAGACAACCAGAATAAAATATTGTTTGTATATAAAAAAAACCAAAACACGAATTAAATGTTAGCGTGTTGTGTGGGAATCATAGAATAGATCGTATAGGCCTATAGACTAAGTACAGTTCTTTCGTGGGGATTTTAAACTTTCAAACTCATCAACTTCCCTACGTATCCCGTAGACTCGATTTTCTATGTCATTTTTTTTGGCAAACAAAATACCCAAATCAAAAAAATAAAACAACTGTGAATTCTGTTGGATTATGAATTCTGTCGGAATATAGACTAATACTCGTTCATATAAAAGATTTCATGTGGTATCCCAATTACTAAATGTCATTCAAATAGTAAGTGCAGGAATACCGCACTACACGCAAAACAAAACCGACAAGACAAACCTGCGGACCCAACAAGACAAACTAGTTCTAGGTCTATGTACATGACATGGCCTAGCCTAATTTATGTAAGAAATAAACAACAAATATCAAATCAATTGAATGGATCCGGAGACCAGTCGTAAGCGTACACTGTGCTGTACGTAATAATGCAGGCTTCACTAAAAATGAAAAAAACCCAACAAATTAATGCGCCTAATCTTGACGGTAGCCTAATCGTCTTTGAATGGCGATAGTCTACCACTAGTACCAGTTGCGGTCATAAGTTTGAACGCCAAACAATTTTAACAAAGGGCGGTAATCCGGATAGAATCTCAGAAAACGCTAAACTGGAGCAAATCCCAACAACGAGAACATTCTGCAGTATGTCAATAACCATGTTTAAAAGCTCCACTGAGAAATGCGCCCACATTTGAGGAAGGAACGTTTTGCATATGGGCCAACTTACCTTTCACCGACTACGCTAACGTCACGTGATAATGGCGACGGCAACTAGTGACGTCATTGAGTTTCGTGATCCACA